TTTTATAGTCACGGAACTCGTACTGAGCTTATTCATTAAATAACATGATATATAAATAAATTAAAACAGGAATACAGTAAAATGTTCATACGTATTAAGACTTATAAAGAATGTTTTGGTGGGGGCGGAGATCATAAGGATTTACAAGTCTTACTAATTAATCGATAACTCAGAGGGAAAATAGGTGGGTTCATGCCTTTCCCAAGGGTATTTGCACGTAAGTGAATATAACGATCCTAACTGGAATTGGAACTCAATTCTCCGATTTCAAACTGTGAACCGTTATCTACTACACCAACCGCACATCAACGCTGTATTACCAAGAGGTTACCCATCTACGTACTGACCGGGTTATTATTAATGTTTGATGAGTATTTCTTTCATTTTAATTTCATTTGCGTTTTAACGCAACTCAGAGATCGTTATTCTATGGCCGTCAAATAAGCAGCGTGGAACGGAAATAAAGAATAAGTCCCCGGTGTAATCTAACCGAACTTGTGTTTCCGCCTACAAAAATTTGTTTATATAACCTTTCAGTCACAAATGTGAAAAAAATAAATTAGGAGATCAACTGATCACGCTACCTTGGTTTCTAATATTCGGTATCTTCAGGCGATCCGGGCTAAATAATTTCCTAACGCTTCCTAACAGACTGTTTTGCTTTATCACAGGTCACAGGTGTAGATAGATTGCTAGGATCGAAACCCTACCGATTTGGCATCAGTCGGAAATTTTATAGGAAAAAATGTAGTAGTGGCTGATGCGTTTCGTCTAATGTGGACTTTCTCAAAGCAAAAAACGAAATGAATTTATGTAAACAAAATACCTAATAATAACAAAATCAAAATGTCCTTAGCAACTGGAAGATTTTAGAGAACGCTATTTTCATACTGTTAACTTAAAATTACATCAATTACTGTCACGTGTGGCGATATTGTTATTATAGCTGTGTTGACGGATTCAACCATTTTCTTTTGATTTCACGATATTGTTGTGTACGTTTAATTTTGTTAAGAACGGTGAAATAGGGAAAAAGCCTGAACGTAGATTAATATTTGGGTAATATTCAATGGCGGCACTCTCTAGAATTTTCCTTCTGAGTGAGTTATTTTCTTTTTTTTATGAGTGTAGCATTTTTAAAATCAAAATTGTGATTGAATTTATTTCTATGTATGACTAGTGCATTAGCTAAGTTGTTTTTTGCGAGGCCTCTTTTGTGCCCATAAATGCGTTTTTTTTTAATTTCTACTTTTTTCTCCAATATATTGTGAGGAACAGTTTTGGCAATTTATTTTATAAATGTCTGCTTCAGCAATATTAACCTGAACAAAATAAACTATGAAATCTCCACAAATATTCTTAAATGCCTATAATTGGTAACAGAAGCCATTGGTTTATACTAACGGCTTCCCATACTTAATACTTCTCGAATTCACTTTCGCGTGATCATGTGTGACGTCATGAGCTGTGGTGCGATTTTCGCTTATGCACGAGTTTCTCGTTGCTTGGAAATCTTCCATTAAAACAGAAATAGACTATCATCACTGATTTGTCCGTGTATTGCTTAATATATCGTAATGTAATTGTCATCTTTGATAATGGCTTATGTAAGCCGAAAGCTTTGATAGGATTAAAAAATATGTATCAATATTGTGATTTTCTTTCTTCGTTTAATGATAATGTTATTAAGCTTATCAGACGATGTGAAAAGAATTTACATAAAATAAATAGACAACACTTGTTTAAATTATTTAATGAAATATGTATCAATATATATATATATATATATATATATATATATATATATATATATGTCATTCGCAGAGAGTACTGCTTTGCTGTATCACAGCTCGTCAATGCGACTAGACATCGGAACGCCTCAAGCTACAATCGAAACTCAACCTATTTGGTGTCAGTCAGAGCTTCTTCACTTGGCGGAGTTACACAGCTAAATCTAACGTATTGTTTTTACGAATGTAAACAAATGCCAATTAGCCGAAGTGCTCCATTCATTTTACTGAAGAGCTTAGCATTAGAGCAGGTGGCTGTTGTTTATAGAATTAGCTTATCATTCAACAGTGCTCAAGTGAAATATATGTAGGTATGTGTGTGTGTCTATGTATGTATGTATGTGTGTTTAAACATGACATTTAAAATAACCGTCCTAGATCGAAGAGTCACACTAAAGAAAAATTCTATCTTCCGACCTTGATTAAACTCGTATATCTTTCTCAACCAGTGAAATCTCTTCGAGTTTGGCCATTAACCGCCATCTTGATTGGGCCATCTTTCAATTAGCTATTTAAAGAGCGCACATCTTTCAGTGGCACTTCTACAAATTTATATTTACTAGCCTCATTTTCGTATCCGAAACTTAAATAAACAGTAATTTGTATTTTTTCTTCTTACTAAAATAACGTTTACAATAATAAGAATAACTGATAAGAGATAATGCCGGATTAAAACACCTGATGGGAGTTTTATTTTAGGAGGTGTGACT